ATCAATCCTTTTCCTAACAAGACTGAAGCTTGGCATGACACTTGTATGAATTTGGAATCCTACAGTATCTTTACGTATCTTTAAGTATTCTTTAGCACACTTTCTGATTGTATTATGAGAGCAGGCACTTTTGTCAAGAATCATGGAACAAGCTGTATTTTAAGCAACACACTCACCGTTATTTAGCGTTCTACGTGTGTTTTCACATCCTTTTGCGACGGTGTTGTGTCTATGAGAAGAGTTTGACTCTGTGCTTTTTCCTGTGGAGGGAAAAGGAAGAGAATAAGAGGCTGTCAGCATGTCTGCTGCCACCTCACCTGGTGAGCGTCCAGCCACATCGCTCTATACTCCATTATTTCATCATGTTCAGACACTTGTTCATACCCCAATTCTTTGGCTGTTTCCTTTCTGCAAATGTCGGGTTTTAATTTAGACAAAGGATCCTGGCAGTATAGAAGCTGCTTTCAGTCGGCTGTTTTTATGGCAGAGAAATGGTCCAGTTGCTGGAAATTACAAGTCTCCAGTGGTAAGCTTTTCCTCCCAAGTCCATGTCCTATATTGGGACTCTTTGGACTGTGGTATTGTTCCTAAACTATATGGCCACCTACCAATGGAAAAGTGATGTACTGTTGGCTGCACAGGGGACTCCTACAAGTTAGTCGGGATCCCCAGACTTTTTATTAGCACCAACCTCATTGAAGTGGAAAAGTTTTGTTGCGTCCCTTTGAGTGAAATGTCTCCGCAGCGATCGCATGGATTGCTGAAAGTCTTTACTTTTCTTTTCTCTGATAATAGAAATACGCTTCCCAGGCATGTTTGTTCAAACTGTGGCCATCCATGAAGAGGTACACTGGAATAGAAAAAGTCACATTAAATAAGTTTAGCATTTAGCAGTTTTTCAAGTGTCGTGACCTTCTAAACATTAGACACAGCATTGTGTCCACTGGACATGTGTATCTGCAGGGGGTGAAAACCACGTTCTGAACATTCCTCAATCCTTCGCAGCATCCCTTTTTGAAAAGCCCTGTCTGTGGCGGTGTCGGGGTGTGGGCCGACCGAGCTCCTCGGTTAACCACTCGCCGCAAACTGAAGCCGGTTTCATCCCGGACCAGAGTTTCAGTACGCGCTCCACATGCTCCGCGGCCTTGGCGTGCCATACGTCGTGGGATCCAAATTAGACCAGTGTTGTACAGCAGGAAAGGCAGAGTCCTCCACAAACGACACGCCCTCGCTTTAAGAAGCGTTTCTCAAACAAAGAAGGTCTTTGTCGGCGCTGCGGGCTGCTGTTTGTGCCCAACAGCCCGCAGCTGATCGTAAAAAGTCAGCCATAAAGTTAGACATTTTACTGTGGTGATACAAGTATTTACATGGTGCTTTTTAAAAATTAAAAAACCCAAACACCACACACACACACACACACACACACAGTCCCGTGTTAAACCAAGTTACAAGCCACTGCCCTGAGAACAGAAAGTGCCGACACCTGCACTTCTAACGCCAGCGGTTTTGTGCTTTGTGATCGCGATGAAGCGCCGTTACCCTCATTCACACAGTGCTTGGCCACAGTAGTCGCAAAGAGCCATATGTTGGAGATCTGTCCCTCTTCTTTATCCACCCTCCCTTTCTTGCTCTGTGTCTCAAGTAAAAAAAAAAAAAAGGTCTGGAAAAACTGAGAGGGAAAAAAAACCTTCCCACATCCGAGACTCGTCCTCCCTCTCTGAGTAAGAGTAAAAGAGGCGGCGGCCCAAACGGCACAACTTCCTTGTCCTGACTTCCGTGGTGAGGCAGACAGCCGGTGGCGCGGCCACTTCCAATTGGCCCTCGTGGTCTCTCCAAAGAGCAACGCAAAGGACGCGTATTTTGGTGTGTTCTGCTGCGGCAGAGCATCCAGTAACCCGACACGTGAGTGAACTGCACCTCGGAGCTGTTTGTTGTTGTTGTTTTTTGTCTTTTTTTTTCTGTGACACCAATCTGTCATCACCCCCCTTCTCTTTACTCATGTTTTCGTACGTTTTGACGTGGTGTTTCATGTACAGCTTTATAGGAACGATGGCGTTTGTTTGGGCTTAAAGATTAGTGAAGGTTTTGAATATTTGAAGTTGGAAAGAACACCTGCTAGTCATGCTACTAGCATCCTACATCCTTTTTTGTTTTCCCAATGCTGTCAGGAGCATAAAAGATGTATTCGTTGAATCGCTGAATTGAAATGTCCGTGTTCTGATGGTAAAGAAATACCTAAATCCAACATATGCTCCTGTTGTTTTTGTCTGAATGCTTGAATCTTTTCAAATGTATTTTCTACAAATAGAACAGGATTAATTCTATTGATTGAAGCTGAGCAGTGCAGTCACACCTGAGGGCACCTTGTCCGATTAAGGCAGCGGGTCTTTCAGTAATGTCTCTGCAGTCCGTTTCCTCCCATGACAACCATTTATGCGGAAGTATAAAAAAAATAAAAATCAGTGGCAGGATGTTTGTACTTGTACGCGGTTCCTGGCGACGGGAGGAAGCGTTTCATTCGCTTCTGCTCCATTTTGTACACAAACACAGGGACTGAATAATTGAAGAGCAGCTCGCATGTCCTGCACCGTACCGGGGGAACCGGCCTCTGGTGGCAGAGAGCGGTCAGGACGGATCGGCTCTGTGTAGCAGCTGTTCGGTGTTGGCGTTTGGCAGTACGGAGTAATTATTGGTTTCGTATCAGCTGCTGTCCTATTTTATGCTGTTGACTGTATGAGAGTTGATGTTAAAAAGCACGCCGTCCATACTACCTCGAGTCTGCATGGGATCAGATGATGCGTAAGAGACTAGTTGAACCAGGACCACTGGGTGCTTTCTTCTTATTTACTTTCAGCGGTCCAGTACGACGGTAAGTGTCAAAAATAACATGAGAGGGTCTTTGTTCTGTCCCATATTTAAGCTTTTACCTCAATCTTCCTGTTTTTTTGGAAGTGATGTAATTAAGTCAGCTGACAGTATATCTGTGTGGTGCTTATGAGTTATAGTTGGTTTTCTGATTTGGGATTTCTTTTTGTCGATATTTAGCTTTTTCCCAGCCTCGTGTGAGCCACGATAACGCCGTCCATGTTTTTTTCATTCCGGGCAAGCGGCAGTGATCGGTATTGGCTGAGCTGCTTCAAAAGGAAGATGCCCAACTCACACACTGCACATTCTCTTGACTGCTTGATGTCTAAAAAAAACAACCTGCCGTCTGTCCCTCAAAGACATATGGGTTCCTATTCCTAATTAGGCCATTGTAAAGTAAGTGGGGCACAGTTCTGGCTCCTGGGGATCTTATCCCTGCATGCGGACAATTATGGTGAGGTCATATTTGCAGAAAGTTCTCCCCAAAAAGGTGAAAACAAAGAATATTCAACTAAAACTGGCCAGCTTTTTGATGAACTTTGATTTAAACAGCATGTTTGTGTCACAAAGCTGGAATAATTTGGTTGGTTGTTGCTCAGTTCCCTCCTATTTGAAACAAATAAACTACTATAATCTCAAGGGTAATATCCTCCTTTTGCCTCACTTCCTCCATGAAGCCTTCACAGGCTTCATAGCAATGAGTGTGACCTGATCTACAATGAGGTGAGATGTTCCATGTTAGACCAGCGGGCCAGGCAGGAGTTCGTCAGGGGTTCTTGCCCGGAGACGTCTTTGTAGCATATGACGGGCCAGCAGGGGACAGACAAAAGCTCTTATATGAGCAAAATAGAAAAATAAAAAATAGTACATGCAGTGTGTTCCTCATCAAATATGTCCTGAAGCACCCAGAGACGTCACCTGATAAAAAAGCAGTGTAAATATGCCAAATTGGATAAACATTTTATTAATGAGGATCGCATATGTTATTGTCTCAAGTGGTTGGTGTCTACCTCGCTCCTATTACACAGCAGGACCTTATTTATTGAACTGCCAACTATTAGTTTCTACAAATGTTTGTTTTTGATGCTACTCTTTTCTTTCCGCTGAACTGTTGATGAAATATGTAAAGCAGTTTAGAGCAGAAGATCAGGTTACCTGGGGTCAATGACTTAGTTAGTCCTTTCCCTTTGGTTAAGTGCACGTCCACCAGCATCTAGTCCTCCCCCAGATGAGATTATTTCCCTCTGGACACCGAATGCACACCTTTTAACAGTCTGTGACAACATGCTGTTGAAGATGGAAGAAACGAAGCCATTATTCTGTTGCTTTTTGATTGTTGGACATCTCTGTGTTTTGGGGACCAAATATAATTTGTACTTTAATCCGGTGCTATTTGCATCGCTAAACATGTTTGCATTTGTTATATGGTTGCCTAATATTTTCTATATTGATTTGGTGTGTCTTTTTCTGCAGTAGTCATCATGCATTTAGTTAAAGGAAAGGAACAAGGAGAAAAATTGGCTTTTGTCAAAATGATTCACTTAGCATTTAGTTTCAATTAATTAATGAAAAGAGGCAGATGGCTTCTAGTAGAAAGTGTTATTAGAACAACAACGTCATGAAACAAAACAGATAATCAAGTTCAGCTCCAGTCTGTTCGCTAAACTAAACTTAAGGAATCAGACTGGGCCGCTATCTGACTTACCGGGATTTCTTTCGCCACCCTGGAGGTCTAAGGGAACCCCTTAAAACGAAAGGAAACACTCCTTTCCTCCTTGCCCTGTGATGAGGAGATGACATCAGGTGTGTCACCTGGCACACCGGAGATCAATTCCCCTGATGGAGTACGTGAAAGGCTTTTGGCTGGAATGTTCACTCCCTCCACTCTTCAGCCCCTTTACAACAATTGATAAACGCAATTTTACAAGTCAACCGTGTAGTTTTCAGATGGATTTTCTAGGAAGTGTAAAATGACGTGTTTATCTTTTGGCATTTTTTACTGACACGTGGGTAAAGAGAGCAACTTTGAATGAGCCTACTGGTCATCTGCTGGGGGAGCTGGATACACAAGCACTTTAACGCATGAGTATAACGTCCCAGGAGGTTATTGAGCAATAGCTTCTCTTCTCTCTCAGGTGTAGTTCGCTGAAGCATAGCCATGATGAAATCGGGCGCCACGAGGGTGGGGCTGCCCAAGCCGGGACTCCAGGAGCGGACGAAGCAAGTCTCCGTGGCTCCGTCTTCCTCCAGCACCACCTCCACAGCCATGAAGACTTCCAGATCCTCCAGCACGCTGGCCTCAGACCAGCGCCACAGCAGGGTCGGTCACAGGCGCACTACAGCCTAACATGATGATACCTTATCACATGAAACCGGTCAAATCACGCTTTTGTTTTGAAGCCTAATACTTGATACTAACAGCAGATGTGTTTCTAGCTGAAAAGAGCCAGCAGCGACGATGCCTTAACAAAGCCTGCTCCCGGAGCCGCGGCCTCGGGCTCCCGGATGAAGAAGACTGTGACCACTGGAGCCATCTCCGATCTCGCAGAGGCCCGCCCTCGCAGCCTGTCTGGTAGGAAACCATCACTAACTAACTCAGCAACTCGTTCCAGACTCTTGGTTTAGTGTAAAGCAATATGATGCCAACAAGCCGCAGAAAACAGCTGTTCTCTTCACAACTTATGGATGTGATCTGTATATTGGGTCCAAGTTTAGAGGTCATCATACTTGAGTATGAAAGTAGTGGCACGAACCACATGTGACCGCTAGATGGCCACAGAGCGCCGCTGTAGCTGCCAGCTCCTGGTTGTAAGTGGAGGCTTGAGAGACGCTCCGTCCCCTGCACCTGGCGTCTTTTTCTAGAAACTGAAAGACTGGACGCGTTCACAGAACCTCCTCACACAACACCGGCTCAGCAGGCGATGTTTTAGATGACAGAGAATTTTGGTGGTGTTTTGGCCGGTCTTTTGCCTTGGGGGTAAAAAAAATGGATGCAGGCAGGAGGATTCATAAAAGAATTTTGTGCTGGTCTGCTTGTCTTGTCTTTTGTGCTAAGTATTAACAACGTTCATCAAAAACACGTTTGTATGTTACGTTTGACAAACTACTTCTCCTGTGTGAGATTTACTGCATTTGTTTGTAGGGATTTTTTTAAGACTGACGTCACTTCATTAGAAAATTTTCTACAAGGGTTTCTTTAGCGCCCGTCAAATGTCTCCCTCTTTTGCAACAAAGTTGTGCACTCACACGCTAATTTAGGAAACAGTGTGGAGAGGAATCTCGTGAAAACACGTCAAACTGCTCAACTTTATTGACTTGGACCGAACATTTGAGTCGTGCTCCTCAGATATGTTTAAGATTAAAAAAACAAAAAACATAGCCGCTGGTAAACGCTATATTGTGTCTATTTAACATTAGCAAGTTAAGAGGGCAAGCAGCTGGGGCAGGAAAGCCTTGGCTTGCTTGTTACAAGTTGCTGTGTTTATTGTTGGTGGTGTTGCATTGAGGATGTGCTATGGGAGTCCAGAGGAAGACCACCTCTGCATTTAGTGTACACGAGAATACAGCAATGATTCTAGAACTGTGTAATCATGTAATGAGAATATTGTAAAACCACTGTAATTTGTAATTATGAAACTAATCTATAGAATAATACCAATGTACAGCTATTTTGTATTTAATGTAACCAACCGAAATGCATGCATGTAACACTCGATCGCACCACAACGGATATTGACTGATAGTCATTCGAAATCCGAGTTACATTGAACTCGCCAGGAGACCACTCCCAAGGGTGTGGGCACTAACTTTCACACCTTTTTACTGGTCCGTATAAATGCCTGCAAGCACCCATTGTTCTAGAGTTCGCTGGTAGAGGCAACAGATCGTCCCTATGGGAGAGTCAATGAGCCCTGGGGCCTGTTTGCAGAGAGACCAGCGGCACCTCAGCCGACATATTCTTTTTAGCACAACACCCTTTTCTCTTATTAAATACTTTTGATTTTAACTCTTCAATACAAGATGTCTTCTGTCCATCCGGCGTTTCTTCATTTTTTAAAGTGTTTGCACTGCTTCACCAGAACCAGCTAGCTATCTCACTGGTTTTGAGTCCTTTCCATACCGTTCACCCTGTGGATGATGTTAATCACGCCCTTGTTGGGGCCCCCTCATGTGATTGGAAAGGATACAGACATCTGATAGGCTACAGATAATTTCCCCGTAGGAAAATAATACTTAACGAATCGAGCAAGCGATTCTCAATAATACACACATACGTGCAGATAGGTAGACGTGTCAAGCAGTTTGTAAATGCAGGTTCACATTAAACATGTCAAATATACTGATCTACCATTATGCATTGACAGATCTGTTATGTCTCTGGTCTTGCATGAGAACGCCGGAGGAACTGTTGAGATACCCGATAAGCTAATCATAATCATAATCATCATAAGCTAATTTATGATTACGTCAGACGCCGGGATGGATGGTGCCGTCTCCTGCATTTAACCACATTGCTGTGGACGGAGATTTGTGGTCCGTGCCATTTCATTTTCTACACATGAATCACACTTTCTTTCCTAGTCACTGAAAACACTTTTGGCTGCATTATCAACACGATGTCACAATAAACTCTTCTACGGTATTTTTATTATCTCTTAAATTGTGGGTTGGTATCGTACTTTTTTTCACTGGAATGAGCACAGTAACCACAAATACAACTGATAGCAAAACATGTATTACGCGTACAGTAAACATGGCGGTTGACTATGGTTGCGATTTGTTTGCAGTAATTAGTGTTGTTTCCAGCATGTTATGGGAAAATCCTCTGAGAAGAGTTAAGTGTGTGGTTTTTGTGGCTCATCTACATATTGTGTGGATACTGTGCTCTAGCTAAACTCTCCTACAAAGCCTTGTGCTGAAGCAAAGGTAATTGAATTCTACTTGACAAAAGATTCAGAGGAGCTAAGAAACGACGGCCAAGTGAGCCTCTCCATTCTTCAAACGCAATCAGACCAGGATTTCAGCCGACTTTCATTGGATTGGGTTCGAAGTGTTTCCACACTCAAGGAAAA